ACCCCTCAGAGCAGCAGGAAGGGGAGTGTTGCCCTTTGCTAATAACGTGTCCAGCTGGTCAGGGGAAGTGAGAAGGATTTAACTCATGCCCAAGTTCTCTCCTCAGATATGCAGGAAGGAATTTCATGCTGGCTATTAGTGACTTAAATATTATGTTTGCCAAGATTTAACCCCTCTGTGGYGATAGCAGCTGGGGAGCCTTGGTGGAAATCAGGTCTTGGATTTTTCTTTTCTATAAGCAATGCCAAAAGAGTGTTTGAAAGTGTTGAAATTGCATCTCGACACTTAACCCCTCCACTGCTGTCTGCTTTATATYTAATTTATAATACAACTATATATTTTCAGACCCAAAACCTAAACGAAACCATTTGCAATTATTTTGAAGTGCAGTTTTTCAATTGATCTGATCTAATTTGGGGTTTATAAATTCACCAGACTTCTTGAGATTAAAGTACTCTGTCTTCACTTGAGTATGGAAACATTTTCAAGCCTCAAAAAATATCCCACAAAGGGGAAAATGTCTGCTGCTCTGCTCTCCTCGCTGTCTGAGGAAATGAAGGACGGAGTCACAAGATTTAAAGCAAGTCACTTACCACACTTTACCAAGTTACAGCTCGACTATATTATTTGACCATGTGCCTGTTTTTAGCACAACAGTCACATTTCATTCGTGCAGCTTAAAATCATCTCCTCTGCTCAGTCACTTCAAAAAATGTGTTTCTTCTGCAGTGCTCACAGAAAGTGAGTTTGTGTCCCTGTGCATGAGTTGCCAATATAATTTATTCCAGCATCTTCCCTCCCCTCTCCCAGSAAAATAAGCAATACCGTGCTCATGTCCCCGAGCGTGAGCTGTTCAGAGTGCGGGAGACATTATTTATGTTCATTAGAGCTTGGGATGAATTGCCAATGCAGAAGAAGCAATGACTAATCTGTGTGGCTTTTCTTCTGCACTCATTGCTGGGTCATTGTGGGAGAGTCCTTGTGCTGGCATGATATTGTGAGTTATTGCTGTCACCCAAAGTTTGGTTAGGAGGAGTTATAATCAGCAGCATTAGGGCAGCRGGATGAGCTGCAGCCCAGAGGCTGTCCCTGCACCTCTGCTCCCCAAAGCCCTGTGCCACCTTGCTGTCTGAGATGTGAAGTTTTCAGGAGAGGGCTCAAACACCCCAGCTCTAGTCTTCCATGATTCTTGAAACTCAGAAGTCTTTCCCAGCAGTCACTTTGTGTTCCATGTTTAAACCTAACATCTGCAGAACAACTCCCTTTGGCTTTCTGTGGTTTTGGAAGGGACAAATATTGCTCCAGGGAAGTCAAACAGCTCCCACCACCACTTGGTAGACGCTTGTTCCCAAGCATCTTGTTCCCACTTTGCCCYTGGTTGAGCTGTACATGTTTAAGTCTCTTAGTTTTAACATGCAAGATGATGCATGATATCCTGGACATTTTGGTTCTTTCTTTGTGTTTTAGTGTATCTTTGCTTGGGGTTATTTTTCTGGTTGGTAACTAGGGTGCATTATTCTCCCCATGTGAGATTCTTCTTCTTTGCCATGGGTAAGCAGTTCTGCTCTCAAGAGACATGGGCCCAGACTCAGCCTTACACATTGTGCCAACCTTCCATTTAGAAATGGATGGTTCTTTCCCTATGCTTTTCAAGCCCCCCAAAAATTAGTTGGATTTGGAAACACACGGGGTCTCTCTGCCTCTTGGTCAAAAATATGGGAGAAGAATGGTAAAGCTTACCCTCAGCCTACACTAGATTAGTGGTCATTGCTCTTATGACATGGATTTGACCACAACCCCAGGTCTGATGTTTCCTTGCTGTTTCTCATCTTTCTTCTTTGTGTCTTGCCTTAGTGCAAGAGCTCTCAGTGTAGCTCATCAGATGCATTCTGCTCCTATTGATCACAGAGAGGGTTTGCAACAACAGCTGGGGAGAAAAGAAGGAAAATAGAGTTGTTAGGCATTTTTCATTATCTTGTTTCGCTTTTTGAAGTCTGGAAGCTCCAGGAGGTGCTAGGAGAGTTAGCTGAACTGTGAAAGAGCAAAATCAAGGAGCCAAACTTACAATCCTACAGGGATGCTGTTCCCATAATGTGCAGAAATACCTTTGTGCAGGTTGTTAGCTGCTGGGGTAGCACTTAGGCATGTGGGATAACCTGATTAGAGAATCAAAGAAAACCCTGGTAGCTTCACAGGCCAAATCCTGCCTTACAGCAACCTGATGTCAAATGGGTGTGAATCAAGGAAGCTTTCCCTTTGGCATCATCTGGTAACAGCTTGGGGAGAAGGGGCTGAGCCAGAGTTCCAGCAAGGAGAGAAGCTTAAGCAAATACACTCCCAGACAGGGAGTGAGCTGGAGTCTGAAACTAATGACTTTGTTTTTCCTTACTGGTGCAGACTTGGAAGGATGAAAAGAATAAATTTCTCAGGTCTGATTTTCAGGTTGTGTAGAAGGCTTAATCAGGACTTGGTTAAGTTATAATGTTTGTCTTACTTAGCTGTGAGAATGTCAAACTGTGACTGATTTGGGAGCAGAAGATGAGTGTTTTCAGAAGGCATGATCCAGAGGGGTGGTCACTGCAAAACTCCCACCAAAGTCAGTGTTAACATGAMATGTCAGACAAGGTGGTTGTACTGATCCCTTGTGGTCTGAACCTCTGTGTCCCCAAAATGTGTGAGTGGGAGTTCCATCAGATCCACAGTGAGAGCAGTTCCTGGCCATGCTGTTCAGTGCTAGATCCMTCTGCGGGGTGGATTGCTGCTGCAGGTTCCTGCTCTGCTCACAGTCCAGGGAAACTGCTGGACAGATCAGTCCCTRACATGGAAGTAAGCCATGGAATTCCTGGTCACATTGTGGGGGATCAGCGTTTATCAGAATTTTAAAATCAATCAGGAAAGTTCATGGGAGAAGCATCCACTTGAGGCAAAGTATGGGGAAGCCAAGCTCTGACTCAGGAAGTCCCTAAACCAGTAATCTGTGGAGGCTGGAAGCAAATCCCAAGGAATTGCTGTGTTTTGCTTACCCTGTTCTCATACTTTGGCCTCTGTTGTTGGCAAGTGTTGGAAATGAAGCAAGCAGGGACTTGGTGAGGCAAATGCTCCATCCTGTGTGTGCTCAGAAAGTTTCATGGCAAATGCTTTATGAATGGCACAATTTTCCATCAGCATCCGCAGGTATCCTGCCTTCCTTCCTTGGCAGAAAAACATGGAGAACCGCAAGGATGCGGATTGAGATGATGTGATCTGCTTATGCAAAGCAAAATGGTAAATCTGCCAGGTTATTTCTCCATGGAGAAAATTATTGACCTTGCTTTTTCTGGCATAGCAGCCACCGTTATAATGATGATGATGGTGACAGCAACCAGAGAGAAAGGCCAGCAGTCATTCTTTCCTGCCCATTATTACAAGGTATAAAGCAAAATCCAGCCTGAGTTCAATGCTAGTCTACTTTGCTCTCCTTACAAATGCATGAGGCAGTTCTCATATGGGTTGAGATGCTGGACTTTTCATACTGACCTTTCCAAAAACAATCCTTCTGATCTTCTGATAGGAACTGGTGTGTTTCTGTGTTTGTACCTTACCAGTGTCCTGCAGCCCAGAGATAATGTCTGAGAGCAGATGTCTGAGTGTAGAACCTTCTGAGCTCCTGGGTGATTCATCTCCTTAAAATACAGTTTGGCTGCACATGTAAGGACTGCATCTTGCCCCTGAGAATGCTGGCTCAAAGAAGCAATAACAATGCAGACAGTCAAAGCACTACTTTCCCTGGGAATTTTATTGCATGAGGAAGGAGAACTTTGGCCTTCCTGTGTTTGTCAACATGATCTGCCTTTCAGCAGCTTTTCGTATTTCTTTTTCCTTTTTTTTCTGGCCTCCTTATTTCTGTCTATCTAAATAATAATCAATAGTGCAATGATAGATTTTCTACCTCACCCAAGATGCAAACACTGCTTGATAACATAATTTTATCACTTCAGGTGCATCAAGCAAGAATAGTAGGTGAAGTTTGCTTTTCTAAAGTCCAGTGACATTACCCAAATCATTACCATAGATTTATTGTTCACATCTATGTGGTTTGCACCATCCATTCATGGCATGTGTCTTTTAAAGTGCTTGCTTTGAAATGATAAATAACCCATTTGGTGTCAGAAGGGCTGGTGTGGCTCACAGACAATCATCTGAAGTAAAATTATCTTGGTGTTTCTATAATTAACTGCAAGGGTGAGTGAGGGTTGAAATGAGATGAATCATTCAATGGACCCCACTTGAAAAGTGGGAATTTTTTTGGCTCCAGCACTTTAGGAGCAGGCTAGTATGTAAAACCTGTGCAGCAAGAATCATGGCCTTGGAGCTGGCATTTCACAGTCATTATCTCAAATATCGTGGGCCAGAGATAAATGAACCATTTAAGTCATCCTGAACTCCTGTCCTGGCGGATGCTTTCCTTGCAGCCACTGCTTTGTTTTCTCCCCAGATTTGGCAGAATTCTTTGTGATGAGAGAGGCAGATCAAGATTTTATTACAAGGCAGATACTTTCATGGGATCTGCCATTGCAAAGCAGTTGGGGAGTCTCTGCACTTCAGCTTTGCACTGCCCTCTGTGGAGCTGGTCTCTAATGAACTCCACTGCAAAAAGCTCACTCAGACTGGGCAGTGCAGAGACAAAAACCCAGAAGTGTTAAGGCACAATTCTTTCACATGCTCCTGGCTGCAGAAGCTGCTGTGTCTCAGATAACCCACCCGATGAGCCATCTCTGATCATTTGTCAGAGCTGCTGAGAGAAGGCTCTGGTTTGTGTTCTCACACTRTACTGAAGGCTTGACCCAGGCCCTGTGCTGTTATCATGCTCTTTGATAACTGTTGACTGTACTGCACTTTAGAAGAAATGAAAACAAGGTACCCAAAGCTTGCAAGCAGACCAGCAGCAGCCTCCAAGGCAGCTGACCTTTGTAACTGTCCYGCTGAGATGGTGCTCACATCTGTTGTGTGTTTCTTTGCAGAATACACTGGAGCAGTGCAGTGTCTGCGCAAAGCCCATCATGGAAAGGATCCTCCGAGCCACTGGGAAGGCCTACCATCCCCACTGCTTCACCTGTGTGATGTGCCATCGCAGCCTGGATGGGATCCCCTTCACTGTGGATGCTGGTGGCAACATCCACTGCATTGAGGATTTCCATAAGTATGGCCTGAGCTGCTCTCAGTGCTTTGCTTGTTGTCTTTTTCTTTTGCCCCCCAAAATTCTCCATTTTCAGACTGAGTGTTCAGGGAGACTTGAACCCTCTGCCACTTCCTCCCAAGGCTGTTAAATAGCAGGGAGAGCTTTGCTCCAAGCAAGCACACCGTGGCATACGAGGTTAATTGGTTAGGGAATGATTCTGCTTCATCTCTGTTTTGCTTAGAGCTGAATTGAGGGGTAACCCCTGTGTCCCCCTGTTTTCAGTACTCTGCGTTCCCCTTGCCTTTCCCTGCMCTTAGCATGTGCACATTTCTCCTCACTGCCTCTACCTGCACTTTCCCATCACCACCTCCCTTCTTCTTCCACTGAGCAATTAAGAGAGGTCCTGTCCTCCTGCACTCYGCAGGTGTTTTCTTACCTGCTAGAGGGATCTCAGTGGCCACAGGCTGCTCACAGCTCCTTTTGTTTCTASTTGCTAATTGGCTTTTTTAAGCTGCTAAAAATACAGCCCTGGTAATAATTTATAGTGAAACTGCTATTTAAAGTAAGTTGAAAGGTATAGTTGCAAGTAATTTCTGTCACTGACATGCTACCACCCCCATCATCACAACCAGTCTAGGGAAGACAGGTAGATATAATCAGAGCACAAATGTTTGCCCTGTATGGAAAAGACAGATATGTTACACCCCTCAATTAAAAGATGAAATCAATACTGACAAATGTGAGTTTACATCTCAAACCATTTACCTCTTAATTTCTAAGGGGGTAGACTTAATTAGAGCCTCGTGACATCAGTGTGTGGGTCTGAAAGCTCAAAGAAGCTGGCTGACTTGACAGAAAGGGAAGCAGCCACAATTAACTGGCATGTTAGAATCCAACARGAGGATGTTCCCTGTAGCTCAGCTAGGCTGGGTTAATTGGCAGCTGCTGTGTTGYTTTGCCTTTCTGTGCCATCAGTTGTGTGTAAGGTAAAATGTGGTCCTGGGCACAGACCCAACAGGTGTTTTATGCACCTCTTGGGYACCTGAAGGGTTTCCCTCACATGCCTTCAACAATTTGGAGACTGCCCCTTCCCAAAGCCCCACAGGCCAAGGGCTCACATGGTTTCAGGAGAAAGGTTGGGAGCAAGAGCTGATGTCCCACATTGAAGGCTTTTGSCAGTGACTGCATATGGACCTCGGGGCTCTGAGAGTGGGAAGTGGGAGGCTGTCAGTCCAAGGAAGGACACAGAAATTGTTGAGTGAAGGATTGAGGGGAAGGTGATGGGAATAGCGTGAGACTCGATGTGACACTCAGAATGTCTTTGGCCTAACACGCATTTTGGAGGACTTTGGCCAGCCCAGTTTTAATTGATTAGGGGTGACATGTCCTCCTGRTCTGGAGGTTTGAGTGCTCTGCATCTACATCCTCTTGCTAACAAAACTGTAGCTGATGTTCACACTGTCACTCAGCTGCCTCCTGTGCTCAGACCCCACAGTAGCAGATGCACATCCCCTGAAATCTGCAGGAATGATCTCAGGATCCTGGGAGATAATATTTGTCTCATAATGAATTACTCACAGTAGCCTGGACGAAGAAATGTTGAAGTATTTTTTAAGTACCACATTTGAGCTAAATGGCACAAGGAAGGGTTTGCATGAAGCAGCACATAATTAATTGTGATCACAGCTCTGGTCATATCATGATCCATTTAAGTTATTTTTCAGAGCGCTCATTATAGCCACTGTGTAATTCATTTTTTCATTAGATCACAGCTACACAGGCATCTTTCATCTACTGCCAGTGAAATTAATATTTTTCTTTATTCCTAGTACAGATAGATTTTAATTTTTTTTCTTTTCTAAGATAGTTAATTCTGAGATGGTTCATGTGACAGTCTGGGTGGCAGAGTCAATACTTACTAAGCATTTCAGAAGAGAAGGGCCTTTGATCTCCTTGTGTTCTGATGTTTACCATGAGCATTGTCCCCTGTCACTCCACAGCCCCTGACCCTGGCCATCTTTGCATGGCAGCAGATTCTATGGGTGTAAGTTTCCTTTTCTGTGGGTGGAATTTGCAGCCAGGAAACTGGTACCAGTAGGTTTTGAAGCAACAAAACAGATAATGATTCACCACAGGCTAAATGTTCCCAAGCCTAGAAGCAGAGATAACCACTTCTCATGGGACCTGGAGGGAGCAAAACCAGAGGTAATACAGAACATGGGTGAATTATCCAAAAGGGCATATGGTAGGCAATACAAGGGGAAAAAGAAAGGCCTGTGCTTCTCTTGATCCCTGAGCTGACCCTGATTCAAGTCAGTCCCTTCATGTGGTGAGCTATTGTCACTATACAATTGGAAGAGAAAGCATTGGGGTCGCTGCACCCAGACCTGTTCCCTTTCAAGCCTGGACAGCCCCCTGTTGGATGACTCAGTTGGTTTTAGCTACAAAATACAGCAAGTCAGAATTGCCCTGATGCTTCTTGTCTGAGCGTGAACACAGCCAGAAATGTGCTTCTGTGTGCATGGGTGAGTGAGATAGCTTGGAAGTTTAAAGTGGATGGCAATAACCTCAACAAACTAATGTTAGTGCAAGGCAGTTCTTTTTACCGTTTCTTGTCAGACTTTTTGTCTATTAAATTAAACTATTTGTTCCAATCACCAAATTTTATTGATTTTTATTTTCAAGAAATGCTCTTGACGTATATCTTGGCTTTCTTTCTAACCTTGGGATTTTCATGGATTTTCTTTGAGGCTGAGGGTTGTGGCAGTGCACAGGTGCCACAATTGAGGGTCACTCAACAGGCACTTTATGGTTCATTAGGGCAGGCAGTGTGTTTTGCTGCCTATGAGAAATTCTTTAAGTCCTCTCCTAATAAATGCTCTTTAATATCCTACAAGCCTGAAGTTGCCTTGTAAGACTAAAGTGCTCCTGCCTGTTTTTTACTAAGGAGGCAGCTGTGCAGAGCTCCAGCCTGCATTGTGTGTGCACATACGTCGGTACAAATGCACACATTTCTGGCTGGACGAACCAGTTAAAAACGATCTTTACTCTGGGTTTGAGGATGACTGAGACTGTTCCTTCCACAGGAAATTTGCCCCGAGGTGTTCTGTGTGTAAGGAGCCCATCATGCCAGCCCCAGGGCAGGAGGAGACCGTGCGCATTGTTGCTCTGGATCGTGATTTCCATGTGCAGTGCTACCGGTGCGAGGTTGGTATTCCAGACAGGCAGGGATGGAAAGCAAAGGTTGGCTTAACTTCATCACCACCTCATGTTGCACACACCACAGATGTACCCTATTGTAACACTGGCTCTACAATCAAATTACTTCACTGACTTCAGCAAGCAAGGAATTTCTCCTCATTTATATCGGTGCAAATGAGAGGAAAATCAGGTCCCTTGTTTATAACAGGTTCATTAGGAGAGCAAAAGAATGTGACTCAGGCAATTAGGGCTTAATACTTGAGAACTTCATAAATTATAGCCTGGACACAAATGTAGCTCATCTTTATGTTCTTAAAATGAAAACTAATGCATGTTAGGATTTGAGCAAGATTGTACAGGAAACTCAGCATATGGCTCTGGGTTGAAGAATTTTAATGGACACATAAACATGATCATTCTTGTTTTGTGCAATGCTTTTTGTGCTACTTTTCCTGTTCAGTTTCATTATACACTTCATGTAATTTTGATGGTAAGAATCTGAAGACAGAGAATAAAAATCACCTTAAAGCAATTAGCATGTGGGAACAGCTGTGTTAGGGAACCTTCAAGAATTCTTCAGTGCTAGTGTTACTTGTTGGATAATACATCAGCCAGATGGCAAGGTAAGAAAATGAGACCAAATATATTTCTTATTGCAGTTGCAGCTTTTAATAACCTTAATTGGAAAGAAGGATGGGCTAAGGTTTAAAGGTCTAGGCTGAAACTTGAGGCATTTGGTTCACTTCTCAATCTGACCTTGGCTTTCAGGGTACATATAAGCCCATTACTTAGGCCCATTATTTTTTAAGATGCTGGGGCATTCCTACACTGAATTTTGTAGAGCCTAATTCGTCATACAGCACATCCCCATGCTGGCTGCTGAGATACCCAGACTTTCACACACATGGATCCATCAGCAGTCCTGGGCCAAGCGATTGCTTGATCACACAGTGAGGGATAATTCCCAACTTTCCTAGCAGCTATACTTAGCCTTACAAGCTTAGGGGCTGAGGTCTCTGGAGCAGGTTTGAGGGCCTTTTAGTGGGGTTTCCATGAGCCCATCTGACATCTTCTTTTAGCCACAACCTTTTTGGCCAGTCGTAATACAAACACAGGTGACAGTTCTACTAAGGGGAGGCAGGCAAGGACCTTGCTTAGCAGCCTTCTGTGAAATGGAGGCTGTAACTTTGTGGCATTAACTCTTCCAAAGGAGATTACCCATAGTCAGATATTGGTACAAAACTTCTTCCCAGTGATGCTTCTTTTTTATCCTTTTTTAAAATTAATAAATATGTGCTTGAGTTTGATGTTTCTCCAATGCTAAGACCTTTGCTTCCTCAGAAATGTGAAGGGAATAATCTCCTTTTATTTTCAATTGGATTAAATTCAGCAGAGAGCTTGGGAACATATCTTCTCTGCAGCATTGTCTCTTATCAGAAAATGGCTTAATCATAAAAGACATCACGTACCTCAGCTTCATGCTTTGCGCTGACTGAGGCTGGATCCTGTTACAAGGTGGAGAGTGAGGAGAGAGTTTCTTTGACTAATAGATTCTTTGCTTAATCATGCTCTTCCTTATTTACTTTGCTTTTCCTGTTCACTTACTTCCTAGGACTGTGGTGGCCTCCTGTCTGAAGGGGACAATCAGGGCTGTTACCCTCTGGATGGGCACATCCTCTGCAAGACCTGCAACTCTGCTCGGATCCAGGCTCTGACTGCCAAGGCCAGCACTGATCTCTGAGTATCAACTGTGACCCTCCCCAGGATGCCCATTGGGGGATATTGCACAAGCTTTGCATGATTTCTTTCCAGCCTAGGGTCTGAATCTCTGTTACTGAAGAAAAGAAAAAAAAAAAAAAAAAAAAAAAAGTAAAACTGGAAGGCCTTGGAACAAGAGGGCAGTTTGAGAGGCCGTGTTCAGACTGCCCATGACAGGCACCTAATTTAGATAGAGCTGTTCAGGAGGGCAGTGAGTGGGTCAGAGCAGCTGCTCTGTCTGCAGCTCGTGGAGGTAAGGGTCACAGCACCTAAGTTATCTGCCTGTAGAAGGAGGTCTGAACATGGTCCTAACTATGCTTCTGTGTTTGATTCCTGTTTCTTGAGAAGTACACAAAGGTAGAGGGTTGAAAGATGGCTGAGCTAATTATTTCTCCCAAATTATTTTGAGAATCTGACCAGCTCTTTCTGAAGTCATCGGGAGCTTCCCTTTGGCTTTAGTGGTATCTGTGTCACCAACAGAAGTAGCTCCACTGCCCTAGAAGGTGTGAGAGCAGACCCAGCATTAACACAAACAATGGACCTGCAACTGTACTGCACCTCAGTGGAGGTGTGACCTTGTATCCTTGGGACACAGAATTGTTATTTCTTAGGCCCTTACTTGTCTCCATTCCCTTCCAGTTCAATAGAGTTTTTTCTTTTACTCATGAAAGTCTACTTAGCTATTGCATAAATTTATTCTGTAGTGATGCTTCCAATTCACAATGTATGAGTAATCACAGAAAGATGTGAGCTTGCACACACTGTACACTACACACACACACTACACACTACACACACAAAATGTGCTTTTGATTTACCAGAAGTATAAGCCAGTCATGTCCATTGGGAAGATCTTTAAGGGGCGTGGGTCTGGAAACACATTTCTGAAATCCCAGTGGTTAAAAAAAGATAAAAATTACTTTGTAGAACTGCAGTGCAAAGTGATGCTCAGAAATATCTTACGCCACTCTCTCATACAGCCCATTCTAGGGGAGCTCTAGTGCTATCTATCTATCTCTAGGTAGATATTTAAACAATAAAGTCTTGTTCCATCTCTGATTGGAATGGGAGGATTTTCCTTCAACAGTAACAGGGATTGGATCAGGCTTTGGGATGATGCACCTTTCTGTGATGTTAACACACGTGACCTGTAGTTTTCATTTAAAAAAATCGATCTTGTTTCAACAACAGCAAAAAAGATTCTCCTAAATAYATGTTTAGTTTTCATCCTAAGAAAGCTAAAGAAGGTATTAAGTCCTTCACTATGCCATTTCAGAAAGCAGGCCATTTTTTTCCTTTGCCATTTTCATCCCAGCCACTTACAATTTATCTCTGCTGAAATTCATGGCAGTAGAGTGCTGGGCCAGCAGCAGCATTTTCAGCTTCAGTCCAGAATGAATATATATGCCAAGGTAAATAAAAACTGGACACAGGTAATCTTTTTTTTTTTTTTTTTTTTTTTTTTTTTTTTTTTTTTTTTTTTTTTTTTTTT